ATTAGACCAAGTGGACAAACTTTGTTATTTGGGCAACTATCTCACCCGGTGGACGCATCACGGATGAAGTGTCAGCTCGTATGGATAGGGTTCGGTTGGCATTTGCCAACTCGCGTTCGGCTCCCCGGATCATTGTAATCAATAGTTAGGTACACTGAGTGATAAAGCTGTGTTGCAAACAGTGGTGTTCACGCACCTCAATTTCTTAGCAACATTAGTCCATTAAAATTCTTCATTTTCTCTACGACTGTTCTTTAACTTTCCTATCTTTCTCCTGCTGCTTCATCAAAATGGGCAGCCACGCTTGTAACCAAAAGCGGCGCACGAAAGTTCATGGTTAGTGGTGGTACAAACTGAAACGGAAATATGGTTAGATTGTGGGCACTATCCGGTTGCCTAGACCGAAATAGAGGATTTTCTTGAGGGGGTCTTTGGTTAAAAAACCTAAAAAGCTAACAATGCACCGGAGTAGAGCATTGAGTCTACGGTTCTCTGGGAGCCGGTGACTGGTGGACCAGCTCATACACCTTTCGGATGTGATCAGTTATCTAGGGCACCCAGATTGCTCTTGAGTGGCGCAGTTGCCGATGAGCGCCATGGCGGTCCACTCCAAAGATGAACTTTGGAAACCGGTTCTGGTTGTGCCAAGAATTGGAGCCACTGCTAGCTCCTTACACCAAGCGTGGTCGGTTTGGAATCGGGATTGTAGCCAACTGCCCTAGACTGACTACCAATAATCAGTCAACCCGATGGAAGGCGCCATGCCTTCCACTTCAGTGTTAACATCTCCACGAAGAGGTTGTGGGTAGGACTTCCCAACGGAACCTGTTTAAGGCGCTTGGTCGTTTGTAAACATTTCTAAAAGATTTCGGGACAATTGACCGTTACGGAGCCCGTGACACCCACCTTCGACCATACTGAAACATTTAGAGGCAGAAAAGCAAAATGTAAGAGATGCGTCCGTTTTTCAGTGATAGACAAAATAGAGTTGTCATATCAATGTGCGAAGAGCAGCAAACAAGGGATAGGGATGCTCTTTTATGGCATCGCAAAATATTTAGGCTGTTTTTTCAGGGTACTTGGTCTCATTGGGCGTTATCAGTCGATGTGTTCGCCAGGCTGTTAGTCACAGCTACTAGCTTATTCCAGCTCCGACTCCTAATCTGCCATCAAACTGCCGTGACAGATAGCTACATTGTCACCCAAATAAATATTCTACCTATCTTATTAATACTATATTTGGTTCCCCAAGTCAAGTCTCAAGCTTCTTCGCCCATTGTGATTTGATCACAGGGTCCTTTTGGCTTTTGAGTTCACTGCTGCCGACATTTAACTCTGGTGTGTAACCCAGGATTCGGATTAAAACATGCACCACTGTCTCGAATGCTATCGTTGCACTGGGTTCATTCAGCTGCCAATGCAGCGCTGGTTGCGTACCCTTTGGAGAATATTACTCTGTTCACACACATTTAGTCCTTTTGAAATTTTACTTCTTTTTGTAGGATTACGATCCATCATGTAGTGGTAAAGGTGAAGATCCTCACCGTCCCTGTACTCCGTTTGTGTGTGCTAATTGCGGCACCGACTTCACACCGGTTTGGAAGCGCAAGCGCTCGGGATCAACGGATGTCGTTTGTGAGGCATGTATCATTGACGGCTTGCGTTCTGGAATCCACCGATCATATAACAGTGTGGTTTCTGCTGCGCTTAAACAATACGCTTCTTCCGAAAGGGAGTTGGAACACGAATACCAGGATATAGTCAATTCTCCAGCCAAGTTGGAGGCCTTCATTAAAGAGCAAGAACGTAAGCTGCTAGCAGCACAACCACCTCCAGTGGCCCCACCGCCACCGCAGCCACCACAACCAAGTTCATCAGTGAATCCCGTGCAAAACCAACGTTATCACCAGCAGCAAAGTTACCAGGTCCAAGTAAGGTGTTTGCCTTCGTTTTGCTTGATTGCTCTTATATTTTTGCTTACGACTCACCCTTAATGCATGTCACGTGCGACAGTTCTGTCATGGATTCCATCTAGTCCGCTCCTTGGTATATTGACCAAATAATTCAAAACCATGCAGCTATTTACGAAACCTTTATGTTCTGTTGTTTATAGTTTGTAGTTTAAGAGATAATCCAGTATTTCTGCCTTTCGCTCATGCCATCTCATATGGAGTGGAGTTTCTTCGTATGGCGATTTAACTTTTTCATTCACAGGCTTTGAAAATATCACTGTTTGAGCCGGACGACAGCGCAGTTTCGTCCAATCAAATTGATGGATATCAGTGCGCCACCAACTTCTGCATTTCTTGCTTTTGTAGACTCGAGCAGTGCGACGAGTACACCGATATGTTTTAAAAATCGGAAATCTAAATATATTGGTGAAAGCTTTCACGCGCCTCGCTTCAAGGCTGCTTGCATAATTCGCAAACAATCGAACGCCTATTCAAAGTTTGACTCACTCATTATAGGTCTCAGTATGCCATTCACGTCCTCGTTGTATTTAATTACAAACCCAAAATGTGCTGCCTTTATGAATCGTCTAATTCTGTGTCGGAGGCTGCCTTGGGAAACCTGACCGGATGCTCCGACACAAAAGTCACCCACTAGGCGGTCGGGNGGTCGGGTGGTACTTCATGTCCACACTTCATTGATTGTTAGGATAGTAAGAGTGGTGGAGTATTGCCTCAGGTTTTATTCTTGGCTATTCTCATTCCTAATATTTCTTTTTCTTTCGGTACTCGTAGAATGCCTATGCGAATGTTGGTGCCCGACATCCTCAGGCAGCGGCCATTAACAGCGGCGTGCCTGGAGCCACCGTTGCAGCTGCTCATCTCTCAATCCCCGTGGCTAATGCGCGGCGTCAGACTGTCTCATCAGCTACGCTGGTGACGTCTGCTAGTGCACCTTCACTTTCCATCGCGCAACAACAGCAACAAAACCAAGTCGTTGCTACGAACAACGTTGTGCAGCAGTTTGCTACACAATACCAACAACTGACAAAGGCTGCTGCCGCAGCTGCCCAAGCCGGGCACGTGGCAGGTGGCAATGCTAACGTCACCGCTAATCTCATGATGGCAGCTGCTGCTGCCAATCCAATGCTTGTTGCAGCAGCTGCCAATGCAACCAACCAACAGCAGCAGCAACAACAAGCGGCTGCAGCCGCTGCTGTAGTACAACAGCGTTTGGCTGCGGCAGCAGCACTCAGTGAATTTCAACATCAACAGCAGCAGCAACAATCGACTTTGGATCAGTATGCTCGTCTGCAGGAATTGGTGATGAACACCCTTTTATGCAATGCCGGTAAGTAAATCGCTCTCCCCAAAGAATCTTACAAACGTTGGTATTAAATGGGTAGCTAAAGAAAAGCTGTGCGATTTGGAGTACGCTTTGCACTCTCAAAATGAAAATTAATGCTACAAGACTAGATGTCGCCCAGTCCTATTCCGAATCTAGATGTTCAAGAACTGGCTGAAGTTCACCGCTTCTCGTACGTGGGTAGCTGGATAACCAACGACCGTAACGTATCAAAGGAGACAAGCGCATACATTTCCAAAGCTCGTGCAGCGTACGCATGACTATGACACCTCTGGCGACAATTTGAAGTTTCACTGAAGTTGAAAAGTTGCGTTTACTACGCCACTGTACTTTTTTATTACACAATGTGAATTACAGTAAAAAGGGAAATCCTGATAAACAAATAGCATACTGTGGAAAGAAGAGTAGGGTAACATTCCCGTAAGATCCGGTTTATCGATTCTGCATTTAAAAAGTAAACGATTGTAAGTTGGGGGGTGGGGGGGGGAAACAACAAGGGGGAGGGTGTTCCACAGTTTGCCAGTTCTGGGGAAAAAAGAAGATTGGAGTAGAGATGTACGACATCTGGGAACAGAAACCTGATAAGGATGACTAGATGCCTGTGTACGGGATGGACGAGTAAAAGTTGCAGGAAGAGGAACTGGCGAGGCAAATTCCGAAGAACAAAACCCAAAGTAGTAACGGTAGAAGAGGGACAACGAAGCAACTGCCCGGCGATGAGCTAGCGACTGTAGACTGGATGTTAGGGAAGGATCATCGATTAGCCGGATGGCCTTTCGTTGAACACGAACACAAAGGGAAAGGGAAAAAGACGAAGTCCCACCCCACAGGTGACTACAGTATTCAAGAGCGAGGCGGATTTGAGCTTTGTACAATAGAAGAAAATGAGCTGGGGTGAAAAAACGTTCGGCACGAAATAGAAATCCAACCTTGCGCGCAATACGAGAAGCAAACTTAGCTATAAAGGGGGACCAGCGTAAAGAAGAAGTTATGGGCAATGCGAGAAGGGGAACAAAGTATGTGGAACGCAGTTAGGTGGAATTAAAAGATAAAAGAAGGGTGGGTGGGGTGAAAATGAGTGGTGTTTTAAAGAAACTGAAAGAAGAAAGGTTTTATAAATATTGAATAAAACATGGTTTGCAATGCTCCAGGAGATGTATTCGAGGTCGGAGTCCAGTGACATTAACTGCACTACGGTCACCATCAATGATCGTTTGGGCATAGTGAACAGTGCGATAGGAGAGGGAGCAGTGGAGGGTGACGTCATCAGCAAATGAATGGATCCGGTTGGCAATTTGGGAAAGGAGATCATTGATAAAAAGAAGAGGGTTAGCACAAGTTCTGAACCTTGGGGAACACCAGCGTTGAGAGGGAATGGTTTAGGTAGAACCCCATCAGCTCGAACGGAGATGATTCGCTTTCTGATGAAACTTGATGTCCACGCTACGAGCGCCGGAGGGAACCTAAGCATGGGTAGTTTCGCCAGTAGACCTTGCCAAACTCGGTAGAAGGCCTTTGAGATGTCACGCGAGACCAAGCGTGTTTCTCCGTGGTTATCGAGTGAAACTGAACAAGATTGTGAGACAAGGGCCAGCAGGTTATGGCGGAACCACGTCGAAAGCCATACTGGCTGTCGCTCAGTAATCTTTCACGTTCAAGCAACCTACGTAGCTGCCCAGAGGTGATAGTTTCAAATACTTTCGAAAGAACCGATCTGAGGGAAATAGTGGGTAGTTGTTGGGGTTAGAAAGGTCGCCTCGTTTGCGAATAGTAAAACTCACGGCGTGTTTCCAGGGGGTTGGAAAGGAAGAAAGTTGGAGGGAAAGACTGAAAAGATTACGTAGAATAGGAGCCAGCTCGGGAGCACATTTTGAGGACGATTGGTGGAATACCATCTGGACCGGGTGGTCTGCACTTAGAGAGCGCAACGTTTGACGGATTTTCCCAGTGCTGATATGAAATACAAAGGGTTGTTAGTGATGGAAGAAGTTGGAGGTGTAGAAAAATGGGATAAGGTGGAATTGTCGGCAAACTGGGAACAAAAACCTCGGCTTTCTCATGTGGTTGACATACAAGATCACCAGAGGGGAAAGTTAGAAGGATAGAAATTACGGAAAGTTGCTTTGGCAAGAGACCAGGGTGATCGAGCGGCGCCAGTGGTGGAAGGCTGAACATTTTGGGCATACAGCAAGGTCGCATGCATGGTTAATCCACTCAGGGCATTTGAGTTTATCGGGTTTGGAAAAGTGTGGAATAAAAGATGCACACCTTGAAGAACAACGTCAGTCAAATTGGAAACATCCGAAGAGAAGCAACAATCGTTCCGGGGATAAGCAGCTAAAAAATCACGGAAACCGCCTCAGTTGGCTGAGTTGTAGCGCCAGAATGTGTTATGGCTCAGTTTTAAAACTTAATAGAACAAGAAACAATACAGTGATCTGATGAACCAAGAGGAGGGTACGAATACCTGAGAAGGGACCGAAGTAAGAATTAGATCAAGGGTGTAGGCACGATCACCAGCTCGATCAGGGACACGTTTGGGGAGGTCAACTAGTTAACTCAGGTTGTTGACCAAAGTGAAATGCTCGGCTTCGCGCCCCAAAGAAGAATGTCTTAACCAGTCCTGGTTGTGAACAATAAAATCTCCCACTGGTAACATGGCAGTTGGGGTCGGTTGCAAACAAGTGTTCAATGTTCGAAGATAGAAAATCAAAGATGGTAGACTGACCACTATCGGGGGAGCAATACACAACACAAAAGTAATGATAAAAGGAAGGAATTCGGAGTTTCAGCCACATCATCTGCGACCATACAAAAGCTGCCTGGGGCAATACAGAAATAGGGAAGACGGGCGGCTTTGGAGCGGTTTGCACTCGGGATTTCCGGGTCTCAATTTGGTGACCTAACCACTTGACCACCACCGCCCAGTTATCTTCGCCCTTTATAACAGGTAATTCGCATATCTGAGTGTAGTCTTTCACCCCATCTTGCAGTCGCTTCTCCAGAGTTAAAGGAAAATACTCGGAAGCCGATAGAGACATGAAACACGCGGAACCAGACTGGAGTAGGTGTCTCACCTTTCAGTTTGAAGTCCAACAGACCTTGTCACTAAAGCGTATGGGGTTTTCTCATTTTTATCAGTTCAAAATACCTGAAATCGTTTTTGTGCACACTGTATTGTCCATTCTGCGTTCTACCAGAACCAGTCTACTACAGTCCCAAGCAACACACCTAGAAGGAACGATTCGGTTATAGCATTTCACGGTGTATCTGCTTCTAACTTTCGTAAACTCAAACTCTGCATTCGTACGATCCCCACGTCAGTAGCATATAAGTTGCGGTATGTCATAATATCAAGTAGCTCCTGTGGCATATGCGTCCAGTGCTTTCTTATTACTGTTATTGATTATTGTCTGATGATATCCACTTGCCAATATCAGCTTAAAAATCTCTCGCCCTGATTAACCTTGTCTCCATTCGTTCTGCTATAACTTTCAGCAACTGCCGGCACCCAAAATGCTGCTATTCGTCAGCCCCAGCATGCTGTTCAACAAGCTCTTTTACAGTATGCATGTTTGCTTCAACAACAACAGCAGCAACAACAGGCTGCCACACAGGCCCAACAGCAACAACAAGCCAATGCTGCGGCTCTCCAGCAATTCATGTCTAGTTCAGTTAGCAATTCAGCGGCGTGCATGGCTTTACTACAAAGTTGGTGGGCCTTGAATGCCGCTGCAGGTGCGGGTGCGAAGAAATGATGGAATTATTGGAATAGAACGGAATGCTGTCTCCGGCGCTATCACCCACGCCTAATTTTCTTATTGTCCGTCCACGTAATGCATTTGTTGTATTTTCTGTGTCTGATTCAACTTGACCGGGCTTTCCTAACCTGTTTGGATCGACCACTTGAGGGGTTCCTATCATGCCTCGTCCATGAACGATGCTTCCCAGCCGGCATATACTCTCTGTTCTTTAGCATTTTACGTGCTAATCGTGTATTTCTCCCTACGTGACCAACGAACTCATCATATCCACCCAACCGTTTGCCCTTGTGCTCCGTGTGCCCTTCCATCGCCAGCCAAGCAGCTGCGCCGGATTGACTCCGCGTGCTTTGCGGTTTCCTCGCATTATCTGCTTGATTTCGCCATCCACAATTAATTTCTGATGTTTTCTTCTTACTGAATTCGTATTTTGTACATACACCCTAGTATCTTAAGCAGATGTGTCTTTTTTCCTTATCAGCGTTGGTGGTGGGTTATTCCTTAATCGAATGAGTTTTTAATTAAGTCAGGGGTCCTTTTTGTGAGTTGTTTCACTCGAAACATCTAAAAGAGTATATGCTCAGTTTTAACTGTTTATAATAACGGCCATCTCAAGAGCTAACGAAAACTGCAAGTTTCCTGTGTTGAGTCTCGTATCAGCCTTGCAGTTCTAGGTGCATAGATGGATTTCAATTTGACGTCACGTTTTCGCCGACACCCTACGAATAGTACCTCTCAGTCCACACTGTGAAAGCAAAGCTCTAAATCTCTAATCCGCAGCCTATCGAAGAGTTCATTTGCCCAAGGGTCTTATCATTTCTACTTCGATATAATGGCAGTTTTTTACTCCGTCGGTCACTGTGTTATGGAGGATATTCGTTTCTGAATTGGTGCCTAATAGGGGTTAATTAATTTCATCTCATTGAATAAGCGATCTCCACGTTTCGTCGTACAGCGATGAGGGTTCGACCTGTTGGTGCCTCTTATCAGATACCTCTATATTTTGTACTGAACCTTGATGCAATGGAGTTGCAAGCTTTTCTGGATAGTTCGAGTGCTATGTTCGGTATGTGTTGCACCTAAATGTACAATGTTACTTGAAGACTTGGTTGGTCCAGCACCCAGTCCCACTCTAACTGGGGAAGTAATAGATAAAGTGTATAAGTTTTGTTATCTGGGCAGCTACATCTCACCCTGTGGACGCATCATAGGTGAAGTGCCAGTTCGCATGCAGAAGGCTCGGTTGGCATTTGCCAACATGAGACATCTGTGGCACCGTCACGACATTCGGCTGGCTGTGGAGAGTCGAGTGTATGCCACGACAGTTCGGCCAGTCCTGCTGTACGCTGCAGAGACTTGAAAACTACGGGGTTGGGACAAAAAATAGATTGTTAGTGTTCGATCACTGTTGTCTACGTCGCAATATACGAATCTGTTGGGGGTAACCGGACTAGCAATGTTGAGGTTAGGTGTAGAGTTTTAGGTAATCGCGTTGGTCCACTGGAGCAAGTAGTCGACCTCCGTAGATTACATTGTTCGAGACATATACTACGCATGTCACCAGATAGGTTGCCTGGGCGAGCGATGTTTGCCGAGAGAGGTAACGGTTGAAGAAAAAAATCAAGGATAGTCAAATTAAGATCTGACATGAGGGTATGAAAACCCTGACCAGAAACTGGCTCACATGGGTCTCGTTAGGCTCCCTGTCTAGGGACCGCGAGATCATGGTCACCGGTGGTTAGAGACTGAGCGATATGGCTGGGTGTCGCAAACAGTGGATCTCATTATTCTTGTAACTCCAGTCTATGAAAATGTGCTGCCTTCCGCTTAAATCTGCTGTCAACATTCTAATCATAATTCGGCTATTTTATTCAAATGGGCAACCAAACCGGCGCACGAAAAAGTGCGTGGTTAATTGTTGTGAGAACCGAACTGAACTCGTTCACTGTAGTAAATAGTCCATGGGTTACGTTGTTTGGGTCATGTGTTATGCATGTCACCAGATAGGTGGCCACGGCGAGTGATGTTTACCGAGGTAGATAGCGGACTGAAAAAGGTCAAGGGTGTTTGGGGGACTCTTTGTAGGGCGGTGCCGTTTTTTGTGCGAGAAGTTCGTGCTTGGTAGAAACAGTCTGTGGTCAACACAAAGTTGGAATAGGTGTTCTCCGTTGTCAGTCCTGTTGTCTGGGATTGTATGTGAACCACCGAGTAGCCTCTGATTCGTCCAGGGATCCCACTTGAGCATTTGAGTCTCCAGCGATTGCCACGATGTCCGTTGACCGAGCACTTCGGAGCAGTTGAGAGAGGTCCTTGTAGAATTCATCCTTCATTTCTGGGACACTGTAATCACTTGGTGCCTATACGGATATGGCGAATAAGGATGAACTCTTTGTTCTGTAGCTGTTAATCTGTACTGAACCATCCAAATGTACAGCGCAAAGTCGATTGCTAAACGGGATCCAATCGAGAAGTGAACGCTCGGACTTGACGCTTTGCGCACTCCCAACACGAGCAACATCGCGAGCTTCGGATGCTGAAGCGTAACTCACGGAGATTGAAACATGACGATGCCGTTGGATATGAAGTATGCTGGGAGATGTTTGACGTAGAGTCTTGTGTGCGTGTTTTGGAGATAGTATACATTGAAATGGAAGGTTTGAAGGGTTCTAGCTAAGGCAGCTTGTTGACCGATCTGGTAGTGTGCGGACATTAAATGTGGCTAAGTGAAAAGGAGATTTTTGTTTCCAAAATCTGATAGCCTCTGAGTGGTTGAACGCGGAGTGTTATCCCATGGGTGGTGCAAACAGGATGTTCGGGAGTGAGAAGAGGAAATGGTATGTTGAGAAAGACTTTTCCAAATGGGTACCTAAGACTTTGGCGCACGGTATACTTCGCGGTTGCCCACACCGACGAAGGGGTTTTTCTTTGGGAACCCTAACTGGAGTCATTGACCCAAAAGTCGGAAACACAGGACGTAGGTCTAATGCGCGAGCGTGACAAAGCACCTGTTCGTGAGCTTTTAGGGACCTATAACGCAAGGTCTTCGGGTTTCGGTTCAGTGTGTTATTCGCTGGTGCGTTGATTATAGGTCCGCTTTTCGTGATCGACCCTTAGCCCCATGCACCCAATGAGGTGAGTGGAACGTGGACGGGACAGCACATTATTGGTTTGGGCCTGCCCAGCTTGGGCGGGCGGTCGCTGTCCAATGAGGTGCGAAGATTTCTCCCACTGTCAGGAGGAAGCCCCAGGTACCCCGCTCCGTTAATCTTTCAGAGAGGAGGGTTTAACCGGTAAATTGCTGCTTTCCATTTTTTTTTGCTAGAATGACCAGTCCGGAGGTGAGAGACCGATCTTTCTCTGCCCTCTACCCATTGACCTTTCAGGCATGATAGGATCTGCGGCTGTGAGGAGCCATCTTTTACGGCTCGTAGGGTCATTTA